ACAACCCCCACCACCATCCTGTCCATTGACCGCACCCCCCTGGCAACCCCCAACTGACAACCCCATGTTCATCCTCTCCACAGACACGCCCACCTCTATCCGCCCCACAGACACGCCCCGCCTTCATCAGTTGGGAGCTGAAACTAGTTTCAGAAGGGCACTCAGAGGAGGGTTGCCGGCTAATAGAAGGGACTTCAATGTAAAAACAGATGACGGTGGATACATCCAGTCCTGCGGGGCCACAGATGGACTAGGGGGCCCCGGGAAGGTGGATTAACCCTTTATGAGGGGATTGTACAACTTCCCAGTAAATGGAACAAAAGGAGAATCCTGAAAATTGACAACCGAGAAATGTTTATATATTGTGAGCGCAAATCCCACCGCCAGACATCCTCCAAGCAGCCGGGGGCCCGTCTACTGTCACATGGGGGATGTCCAGGGACCACACACTGCATTTCTACATCATGATCTACCATTACCTTATAAAACAGGCCACAGAAATCTGCCCCCTCAGTCACATATATGTACCTTCCGTGTCCCCGTGTGTAACATACATAGGCCATCATGCTAATCCTCCACATCCCTTGTCATACCAGAGGAGGAGCCTGGAAGGTCAACCAAACTTGTCTGTCTCCTCCCACCACTGGTATCCAACAGCTCCCGGAGTGTCCCGCTCCCTGCTCTGGCTCCTCCCACCACTGGTATCCAACAGCTCCCGGAGTGTCCCACCCCCTGCTCTGGCTCCTCCCACCACTGGGATCCAACAGCTCCCAGAGTGTCCCGCCCCCTGCTCTGTCTCCTCCCACCACTGGTATCCAACAGCTCCCGGAGTGTCCCGCCCCCTGCTCTGGCTCCTCCCACCACTGGGATCCAACAGCTCCCAGAGTGTCCCACCCCCTGCTCTGGCTCCTCCCACCACTGGGATCCAACAGCTCCCGGAGTGTCCCGCCCCCTGCTCTGGCTCCTCCCACCATTGGGATCCGACAGCTCCTGAAGTGATGCATGTCCCGCCCCCTGCTGTTTCCTTCCATAGGCTTCTATGCTGCTACAGGACACAGTGGTAAAGGACGTGACACGCTGCACGCAGATTCAAACAGTCGTGGAACATTCTATAGACGGATCATTGATCCCCGTGGAACATTCTATAGACGATCATTGATCCCCGTGGAACATTCTATAGACGGACACGGCACCTGGAAGGAGAAGACGGCATTCATTTCCTGTGTAATGCAAACATTGGCTGTCGCCTCTTTATTGATGAAGGAACATACATGTGTCATGTCTGCAGGAAGTGGACCAATGAGAGGTCTTCCTAGGTGACTACAGCAAATGCAATATCTGCGAGCATGGAAGCAAAGAAGGAAATGTGGTCCCCATGTTCCCCCAGCCTGCCGCGGCGCGCGTTACTACATGTCAGCAGCAGAACATTCCCCCCCCGTCCATGGAAGGACGTCTCCCGGCGCCGGGCTGCGCACATCTGCAAGCCGACTCGTGGAATATATAAGTTACTCATATCGTGGAATAAACTGTGCAAAACGACGTAGAAAGTTCTATGCGCAGCTTCCGCAGACAAAACTACAAAACAACGTCAACTGCTAAAATGAAGTATTCACTACGGGGGAGGGGACGCTGAAAACTATATACAAAGGCACGGGG